CCTTGCACGCGATCAGATCTGCAGTGTCTGCAGCCTTGTCTTTCCCATGGTGTCAGTCCTCAGGAGCAGAGGGCTGCCCTAACACACGCAGGCGGCTGCTGCTCCAAGGAACTGAGTGCCTTTGCTCTCTGGAGTGCTACTGAAAGTTGAGATCAGCAGCCGCCAGCGTTACTGTCCCGGTGCAGTATAGCAGGGCGTGCTGCTCGGCTCGTCCCCGGGGCTCACGGGCAGCCCTGCGGGCACACAGGCTGCCTTCCAGCTATAGTTGCCTCTCTGTGCGCTGGGATAACAGCGGTTGGGAAACCCGCTGCAGGAAAGCTGGATAATGCTGTTGCAGGACCCCAGCGGGCTTCCCGCCACCGGCGAGTCCCCACAGCAGCTTTGCTCCGGCAGGGCACGATGGTTCAGTCTGTGCTGAATAAACACGGGGGTGAAGCTGCCCGTGCATTTGCCCCAGCTGGCTCCGAAAGCGGCAGAGCTGCACTCGCACAGTGCTCTTTAAGCAAATACACCCTGTTATCTGGCCAGCACGGAGCCAGCTCAGGTGCCGCTGTGCCCATTGCGCACAAACCGAATGATCTGCCAGGGGATAATGGGGCACTGACTCGGTCCGCGAGGGCCGGCCCTGCCCCGCAGGTTTGCAAGCAAAGCACGGCCTAAAAGTGCAGCGGAGGAGCCTTGTTCCAGCAGCCGGAGGGTGAGGAGAGGGCCAGTGCAGCTCCCCGCAGGTGATGTTTTGTACAGCTGACCATGGGGCACAGCCTCAACCAGCTTTTCTGCTCCCCCTGAAGGCAGGGTGCACAACAGAAGGTTCCTTTTCTGGCTGCTGCTGGACTTGGCTTTTTGCTGGCAAGATCTGGTCGGTCTGAAGAGAGCATCCTTACACTGCTGAGATGGTACGGTAGGCAGGGTAGCGACCCGTACCTTGGAGATGAGCGAGAACGTCTCACCTTTTCTTCTCCCGATAGGCTCTCGCGACAGGAAGGCGACCGGGAGACTCTCTTCACCCAAGCAAGAGCGACAGAGGGGCCAGAACCCGAAACCTTCTCCCGCGCAGACAGACAGGTCAGTGCCTGCTTGTTCTCCGGGGTCTCTTGTGGGCCAGGCTGGGGCTCACACTTCTCCAGTGGTTCAGTCCCTCCTCTCGGAGCAGCTCTGAGGCCGTAGTTTCCAGTTGTCATGGAGGCACAGCGAGAGGAAGGACGCGAAGCTCCCTGGGCGGGAGCCAGAAGTGCTCAGGGGTTCATGCGGAAGCCACCGGCTAAGCCGTTCCAGCTCAGAAACGAGCAGGAGCCTGGGGGTTTTCCTGAGGTCAGTCCCAGGAAGAGGAGCCAACTGGGTTAGGTGCAAGCTCAGTCATGCCAGGGCCTCTGCTTCTCGCTAGCGCTGCGTAGTGCTAATGAGAAAGAAAGTACAACCCCTTCACCCCGCTGCCGAGCTCCTCGTGGCATCTGGCTCGGGTGCCCGATTCCCTTTCTTCATAGCCTGGCATACGCTCAGCCGCTCGCTTTGCTGCTGTGAGATGTTAAAATGTGGCCCCTGCGTGAGACTGAATGGTGACTAGCCCCGGCTTTGCGCTTTTCCATCCCCTCTGGTGACAGGTGACCAGCTCACATCCGATTTCTTGGCAGCCTGCACCCGCTGTTCTGCTGGGAAAATCCCATTGCAGAACTGGATGCGTGGCTCCGGGGGCCTTGGGCTGTGCTCTGCTCGGAGCCCTTTGGCTAAAGGGTTGTGGAGCACCTTCCGCGGCACACCTAAAGCTTCCTCGGGCCTCCTTGCCCGTAGCCAGCCAGCGCCGCTTTGCATTTCTCTAGCGTCATCTCTCCGAGGATCTCTGTGAGCAAACGGACACAGCCCTCCCTGTCCCGCACCCCTGCGTTCGTTGGCCGGCAGGACTTGTGTCATCCCCTCTCCCCAGCCTGGGGCACGAGCGAGCCTCAATTTCTGTGTGTCAGAGTCTTCCCAAACCAAAACCTAGCCCCAGCTGCCACAGCCCTGTCCTCCTTCAGGCCCTGAGGTCCTATTTTCTAGCAGTGAAGAGGAACCTCAGCCTTTCCAGACTGGTGGTGTTGACCGCATCCTTGGTTCTTGACCCTCTTCTGCCTACTGCTGTTTGGTTTGGCAGCGTCGCGTGGTGGGTTCGATGTGCCCTGGCACGGGGGTGGTTAAGGACACACCGGGTTTCTCTGGGGCAGCCGAATGGTAGGTCTGTGTCCTGTTTTGAACTCCTCGGGGTTGTCTGGGTCATGCTTGCACAGCCCCGCTTCTCTTAAGCGTAGCACGAAAGGGTGCAAGCGGCATTAACAGAGGGGACGGTGACTCCCGCCGCCGCCGTCTGCCAGCAGGCTGGCAGCCGCAGTGGCGCGGGCTTTCCCGAATGGTCCAAGTCATTAGAAAGAGCCGGCCGAGGTTCAGACTGCGCCTTCGGTGCGTTACTGAGCTAGCAGCGCTGCAAGACCCTGGCAGGCTCGCGATGCCGCTCCGCTTCCCGGTTCTGTCATCCTTGTCCCCACTGTAAGGGGAAGTGGTGGCCTGCCGTGGGAAGAGCCGCAGGCCGCTTGCCTCCAGCCCCGGTCGCAGCCCGATCCAGGAGAAGCCGCGGGGACCGGTGGCTCCTGTCCTCCCCGTGCAGGGCCGGCCAGGCTCCCCGCGTGCAGGGGAGGGGAGCGTTCCCCCGGCTTTGCTTTGCTCCCCCAGCAACGGCTTCGGGCTGCAGCAAAGCAGCATCGGAGCAGAACTGGAGCGCAGCGCTGGGTGTTTGCGAGCTCCCCGCAACTGCCGGATCCGCACCACAAGACCCAGCGGCATCGCAGGGCGCAGGGGCTGTCAGGATTTGAGACCGTGGGGGTTCTCCAGGGCTGCCCTGCGTTTACCCATGATGCTCTCCCCTCTTTGCTTGTATGGCTGTCAACTCCCTTGCACATGTGCATCCCCCAGCGGGCGGCTCACAACAGCCGGCACGGCCCTTGGGGGTTGCTGTTGTGGCAGCCGTGGTGCCGAGTTTAAATTTTGGATCCCCCCGGAGGAGCTGATCTTCTACTGTTTCAGCCGGTTTTCCAACCCCAGGCCTTGCGTCTTGAACCTGTTTTCTTCCACCGGCGCTTAGAGCGACGCTTTCTGCCGGAGCAGATGCCGAAGGGGTGTGTTTCCAGCGCGGCGTGCTGCCGGCGAGCACCCTCTCACCACCCTCTCCTCTCTCTCCCTGCCAGGAAACGCCAGCTCTCGCCTCAGTCCAAGAGCTCCAGCAAAGTCACGAGCATACCGGGCAAAGCATCCGAGCCGGGCCCCACGGGCGCCAAGGCGGGCAAGTCCAGCACCCTGTCACGACGGGAGGAGCTCCTGAAGCAGCTCAAGGCGGTGGAAGATGCCATCGCTCGCAAGCGGGCCAAAATCCCGGGGAAAGTATAGTGGGCCGTGCGCGGAGCGCCGCTCCGCCCCTTAGTGACTGTTCATGTTTTTATAAATAGTGTAAAAGCGGCCACTTTGGGATTTTGCAGTTCTGTCTTATTTTGGCTGCGATTCTTTTTTAAAAAAAAAAAACCACACAAAAAACAAAAAAACCCCAAAAAAACCCCAAAAAAAAAACATTGGAAGTTTTGTCAGCTGAGACGCCCGCGACGATTCGCTCCGGCTCCCGAAGGGCGAGCGGGGCCAGCCCCTGGCTCTGCCGGCGCCGGTTCCATGTAAATTATGCACAGAGGACTCCAGCCCCGTCGGATGCTCTCACTATTCCTCTCTTTCTCTCTGCCCTCTCCTCTTTGCTAGCCTTGAGTTGTATTCTCCTAGTTAGCCCTGCTGTGTGTTGAGTGTCTTCAGCAATGCAGTTCTATATACTGTGTAACGAGAGAGCCGAAAACTGCTGTGAACTACTGGCAACACCACCTTCTCCCCCTGCCCTCCCCCCCAGGAACAAAAATATATATATATTCTTGACTAAAGTCTGATTGGGAAAATGATCTGTCTTTTATTTTAAGCATCGGATTGTTTTAGTTGATTTAAAAGGAGCCCTGAAGGTGTTGTGGGGGTGTCTGTCTAACAAGGAGGGTCCTTTTTCCTTTTATTTTTTTTTTCCCCTTTCTTTTTTTTTTTTTTTTCTGAGGGATCTCCCTGAAATAAAGTATTTTGATAACCAGTTCTTCCTTTCTCTGCTCTTCTCTACCTGCCCCTGTCCTCCCTCTCCCTTGCCTTGGGGAGCCTGTGCCCCCTCTCCCCCCTCCCCTCCAAAATATTTGGGGTGTGTAGTTTATTTTTCTTGCTCTCCTGATGCCCCCGTGGCCGCGCCTGCTCTGCCACCGCCGTGGGCGGCTGCCTGGAGCTGGAAGAGCTGCTGCATCTCTTGGGGGAGCGCCGCATCCCCTCGCTGTGGGCACCTGGTGTCCCTGAGCCCCCCTCCCCTCCCCGTGCGCCCCCAGTGCTGTGGAACCTCCAAACCTGCAGCCCCCCGCCTTGTTCCTTGGACCCAGTATTAAACCAGTATCTCACTGGTATTAAACGTTAGCAGGGCAGAGTCCCTGCTGGGGAGGGGAGTGGAGGGGGCTGCAGCCCCCCCACCTCCCCCCCCGCTGCTGGCTTCACCTGGCACAATCTGGGGGTGCCTCTGGGCTCATCCAGGCCTTCGGGGGGGATGATGCATGGGGTCCCCGCTTCCCTCTCGTGTGCTGCTGTGGGAGGCTCTCCGCGCCTTGTCCCTGCCTGCTTGGGGGGTGTGGCACCCCATAAAGTCACCGCCGTAACGGGTGCAAGTCCCGTCTCTCCGGTAAAAGACCAAAGCGGGGCTGCGCCCAGTCCTGCAGCCGCGTAAAGCTCCTTTCCCGCGTGCTGCCCCCCCAGTACCGTGCTTCCCGCTATACTGGGACCACTGGTTTTCTACGGGGACGGAGCCTGAGCCCTAGACCCCCGAATCCAAAGGTGCTGAGCCGGCGGCGCGCCACGTACGGCGCTGGCAGGGTGCCGCCGTCCAGGCGGGGGGGGGGGGGGGGCGGGGGACCGACCTTCTGCTAGTCCCACACAGCCCTAAATGCGGGCTCGTCGAAGGACGCGGGGCTCCGTATCTGCCTGCGGGATACGGAGCAGAGGCGGGAGGGGGCGGGGGGGAACCAAAACCCTCATCTACTCATCCCTGAACCAGCTCCTCCGGTCCCATCGCGTCCTCCCCGCTCTGCTCAGCACCATCATCCTGGCTTTAAGACCTTTTTTTTT